GATTCCCAGGTAGCACCTGTAGTTTCTGATAATGAATGTTGATGGGTTGGGAAGGACAGTATTTTAAGATGGAAGTTCATAGGTATGGGCAGGTACAAGTTGCTACCTCTACAGGGAGAATATTTTATAATCTACCATTCTTATTCCCATTTTGTCAATCAAACAATAGTTTTCTTTACAAAGCATTTCTTTTCTGTGAACAACAGATCCAGCATGAGATTGGGCATTACATTTAGCTGCCATGTTTCCTTTAATATGGACTAACAGAAACTATAGCTTCTCATTTTAAGAAATCATTGGTAAATGGTATATCTGTGCATGGTTAACCTGTACATGGTTATTTCAATGTTATTCCAATTAAAAGAATAATAGAACAACCAACTCCTATTTATCTGGACTTTTTAGTGGCTTCTCATTTTCCACCAGAAAAATTCATCTACCTGGCTTTCCAGTCCTCTAAAATGTATCCTTTGATGGTTAATTTTCTGTGTCAACCTGCCTGGGCCATGGGATGTTCAGATCTGTTTAAATCTCATCTCTGTGTATATCTGTGAAGGCATTTCCAGAAGAGATTATCACGTGAATTGGTGAACTGATTGCTTTTTCCAGTGTGAGGGGCCTCATCCATTCTGTTGAGGGTCTGAGTCAAACACAAAAGCTGAAAGAAAAAAGTTTAATTTACTCTTGCTTGACCACTTGAGTAGGAACAGCCATCTTTCCCTGCTTTGGCATTTCTACTTCTCAGGCCTCAGACTTGGACTAGAATCTACAGCATTAGTTCCCTGGCACTCAGACCTTGAAACAGCACCACCAACTTTTCTGGGTCTTCAGCTTGCAGATGGCAGATTGTAGGACTTCTCAGCCTCTGTAATCATGTGAGCCAAAACCTTATAATAAATCTCTTTCTCTATCTCTAAGATCTGTATTTATATCTATATATCCTGTTGGCTCCATCTCTCTGTAGAATTCTAACCAATACAGTCTCACTCTATGTATAACCCTCTCTCCCTGTGGAGGTAGCAACTTGTAGCTGGAAAAACATGGGCTTGGTACAGGTAGCTATGGGTGTAAATTCTAGGTCTACTGTTTGCTGGCTTCATAGCCTTTGGCAAGTTTCTTAACTTCTCCTAACTCCTTGCAAATAAAGTTGTGGCCACTCAATAAGCAATTGTGGAATGGATAAGTACATCTACTTCAAAGGATGATTGTTTGTTGGGAGGACTGAATGCAGATTTGCCTAAGTGAGTGCATCCAGGTGCTTGCCGCATGCATGGCAGGTTCTCAAAACCATACTTCTTCCTTTGCCTTTCTTCTTGCCAGAATCAGGTTGCTAATCTCCTTGAACCATACACACCCACTTTTGTTCCCACCTCCTCAGCTCTGCACATGGAGGCTCCACCTCCACCTCCTCTTTGCTGTTTCTTATAGCCTACCAAAGCTTGGGTACCTGTTAAGATTTGGCTCTAGTATATTATATCTTTCATGAAGACCTTATTAATCTCATTACTCTTTCTACTTCCTCAATTGCTTCACTCTTGTGGACTCTTGAAAGGTTTAGTAAATAGTACATAAAATCCTAGAACTCTAAAACTGTGTGGGTTCCAATAAAGACATGGATGTAGAAAGCGTCATCTAAAGAAGGGAAGGACACTCATGGTTCCTGAGCACTACTTGGCACACTGTGCTTTCTGTGTGAATCCCTAAAACAACCTCTTTTGATAGGTCTTTTTAGGTTCATTTTGCAGATGAGAAACCTGAGGTTCAAGGTCACAGAGTTAGAAATGGCAGAGCTGGATTTTGAACCCAGGTTGGTCCCATTCTTCCTTTCCTACTGGATTGCTAGCCAAACTGAAATTTATATTTAAAAATATAGACTGATTCATCAGTGAAAGGTGCACATTAAGTTTCAGGAAAACTTGAGTGACAGTGGGGCCTTGAGTGACCCAGGTGCCTTGCTTGTGCCTGCTCAGGTGTCTGCTCAGCAGAGGCTCCCTTTGGCCTCCCTGCACTAAGGTAGCATGGATGAGCCTGTGGATGACTCAGGGAGACTCAAAATGGCAATTTTATGTGCTTCTGAAGGAAAACTGGTTGACTAATAGATAGTTCAAGAACCTTTTACAACAAAGAGCTCAATAATTTCCTATTTTTAAGGTGGCAGTTGCAGTTATCAGTTAACAACTGGCAATGGCTGCTCAACAAATAGGCATTTATGATGAGTTTTGGACCAAAAGACCTCTCAGGGCCTTTGCAGTGGATTTAATCAGTCTAATCAAACCTTTAGACTGAGTGTGAGCCCAGCGGGAAGCACTTACCTCCTGTGTTAACTGTTTTGCCACTGTTTTGGGCACACACATCTTATCTCTGCAACTGGTAGGTCCTGTAAGATCACAGACTTAGTACTTTTCATTAGTCTCCTACAGCTCTGGGCAGAGTTGAGCACATAGTAGGTACTCACTAACTGATCATCAATTCAAGATTTTATAACTCAAGATGTTTATAGTACAAGGACACTCTGTTGGGTCTGATCAACAGAGGACTCTAAATTGTGATCTGTAAGCACTGTTATAAAATGAATTGTGTGCACTCCTCAGGGAAGCTCCACAGGCAACGTTTATTGCTTTCCAACTCTGGAAGGCTACTCTGTTGTTGTCATCCTTAAAGATGGATGTAAGTAATTGAATAGGCCTCTTTTCTCAACTCAGATTCTATTCTTGTCTCAACTTTGCCAGCATATGATAGAGAAGCATGCCTTTATAAGTCTCCAGTGAAAATTCTTGGGTTAGAAACACTGATCAGTATAAGCATGTTCTAGAGGCATGTGACCCAGCATTCAAATTCTAACATGAAGGTTTATGGGAGAGAAAAGAGTAAATAGGGTGAAATGAAACTGGATCACAGAATTGCCTACTCACAATGTCTCATGAAGTTAGCAGCATTAAAAATTAAAGACAGGGCTGGGGTTGTAGCTCAGTAGTAGAGCACTTGTCTAGCACATGTGAAGCACTGGGTTCGATTCTCAGCACTGCATATAAACACATAAAATAAAGGTCCATTGACAATTAAATTTTTTTAAAAAATTAAAGACAAATGAAACAACAACAACTTAAAAAAATTAGCCATATGTAAACAAGAAAAATATCAAAGCATTGTAGGTAAGGAAAAGGATTCCCACATAGTACCTAACCCTGGTCCTATGTACATCCTCCTGAAGGTGGTGCTATAAATAGAAACATGCTCAAATCTGATGACAAACTATTTTCGAGGTTGTTTTGACATTTTTTCCTTATTATTGGGATCAGAGAAAGGAAGGTAGGAAGGAAGTTAGCCAGTAGGGCCAACTGTTGGAAGTGAAGCCTCAGGAGCTCCTCCACACTAGAGTCAGGAGTACAGCCAGGGAGCATCCATCTTTAATCAGGCACAGGAAGGATACATTCAGGGTATCATGCCCAGAATCAACCTGTCCACATCTCTCACCCTCAGGTTATAGAAATTTGGATAGATTACAAAATACACAGCACTTAAACTTGCTGATAAGGGAATATGGAAATATATAAAAGTAGAGATACTTGGGAAGGCAGTGAATCAACACTTTATAGAAATTAGAAGGTTTGGAGAGAGGTCTGTGTTAAACATGAGACAAAGAAGAAATGGCATGCACACCATGTTACAGAGAAAAAGCACATAGCATAAGAAAATGCAGTTAAAACCAACAAAACTAAATAAATGGAAATTAAGGTGGCATAGGGGTAGGAAAGATGGTGGAATGAGATGAACATCATTACCCTAGGTACATGTATGAAGACAGGAATGGTATGGCTCTACTTTGTGTACAAGTATAAAAATGAAAAATTATGCTCTATTTGTGTACTGTGAATTGAAATTCATTTTGCTGTCATGTATAAAAATTAGAAGATATAAATAAATTAAAAAAATTAAAAAAGAATGGAAATGAATTTGTCAAGAATGCTTCACATTATAGCAGAATTGAAGAATATGACTGATACATGAAAAGCTCAAGAGAAGATGAAAAACAACAGAAGGGAATGAAAAAAGATAGGAGTTGATGAGTAAGAATTACAACAAGGAAAATAACTAAAATCAACAAAGAGAACAGAGTAGCTAAAAGTCAAAACAACCAATGCTGAGGACACAGAGATAATCATAATGCACACAGAAGGAAAAACCAGAATTTGAGTTAATTAGAAGACAATTAATTAGAGGAGAAAGACATTTTCAGTAAGTATACTCAGCAACTCCAACAAATCCAACAAATGGAACTGAAAAATTATGGATATGATACAAGAAAAATTTTATTGGTTAGTTTTTAATGTTTTGAGTGGTTTTTTTTATAGAAGAAAATACTATTGCTTTGCAAGACCACTGTGGTTTGAATATATTCCCCAAAGTTCATGGAACTTAATTTTGATTGTGGCAGCATTGGGAGGTGGAGCTTCATGGGAGGTGTCTGAGTCATGGGGCACCACCCTCATAAGTGCACTAATGCTGTTATTTAGGAAGTAGGTTTTTTTCTTTTTAAATAGTTTTTAGTTGTAGATGGACACATACTTTTATTTTACTTATTTATTTTTATGTGGCACTGAGGATCGAAGCCAGTGCCTCACATGTGCTAGGCAAGTGCTCTACCACTGAGCCACAACCCCATCCCACTGGAAGTAGGCTTTTATAAAGTGATAAGTTTGGCCTCTCTTACTCCATCTCTCTCACCCTTAGCCCTTCCTCTAGGGGTTGAAGTGGAGGAGGCAATTAAAACAATGTTGCCTGAAGTGGGGGAGAGAGAAAGGCTTGAAGAGCCCCTTACACTCTTTCACAGTATGGGCTCACACTCAATAAGAGTGGAACTTTTAAGAGTGCCTGCACTAAATATTTCCATTTTTTTTTCCTGGTGGATCTGGGGAAGAGGAGGAGGGGAAGGATGCAAATGACTATGCAATTTTTGCCAAAGAAGGAACCCACTAGCAGAGAGACTGTAATTTTCTTTTTACCACCTCAGTTTTTCCCCTACCTAATACAGGAATCACAGTACCAGGGCTGCAACTAAAAGTGCTGGAAGCAAGGGTTATTCTTAGCAAGAAACGGGATGTTTTAGAACCATATGTCAGAGTTCTTAAGGACCTCCACTCCAACTGGCAGAATTGAGGTTGACAGTGAGTACATCTGTGTTGCCTGGTGGTGCATCAGCCTGTGTCACCTCACCCTTTTGGAATGGGAGTGGACTGGGGAGGGGCACATGTCAGACTAGTATTGTTGTCAGCAACCTAGAAAAGCCTGGTCCTCTAACCCTAATGTCCCTTCCAAAGGTGGAAGAGTTGCAGTACAAATGAAGAGAAGGAGAATAATAGCTGAGAGAAGGAATGAAGAAGGAGTCCTGTATCCAGTGGGGGATACCCAACATTACATTAACACTTTAAAAAAGGGCACATTGTCTCAGTTCAGGCACATCAGATGCCTGAAAGTGTGAAGCCATGTGTTTGCTAAGACTGCACTTGCTTTTGGAACTGGACAAGATCTGATGGAAACCTGCAAACCCAAGTGGCCTGACCTTGAGAGCCAGATTCACTCACTAGGATGGACTGGATGATTCACCATGATGGTATGGATCCTGATGTTGTGAGTGAGACTATTAGAATTGTCTGTTCTTTCAATGTATGTGAACTGTGCGTGAAGATTGGAGGTAGGCTGTCATGTTGTGAAATGTACACATTTGGTATTCTTCCTGTCTCCTGGCATACAGTTTCTAAAGTGCTTGGAATCTTCAAAGTGATGTGTCTGGGTGCATGCGTGTATGTTTTTGTATGCAAAAACAACTTAGAGCTGGCGGGCCCCTAAGTAACTTTGGGATGGAAGTTGGTGCCACCTGTTATGAAATCTTTATAAAAGTCACAAAGGACAGAGTTTGGATGAGCTAGCTGAACACAGAGATTCCTGGAGGGCAATTCTCCTGGAGAGAGCATGGAGTCTCTATATTCCTTTTTCCTTCCTTGCCCAAGGCATCTCATGATCTGATGTCCATCAGTATCGTATCCTTGGTAAAATACTCTGTAATAAACCAGTAAAGATAAGAGAAAAAGGAAAGACCATTTACCCACATACCCAAGGGCTTTCTTCAGGATTCTCTGCTCTGATCCACTGGTATGTGTGCCTGTTTTTATGCAAGGACAACCTTGCTGAGTTTCTATAGTTTTGTAATATGTTTGAAATCCAGAAAGGTGAGGCCTCCAACTTTGTTCTTTTTCGAGTTTGTTTTGGCTACTTGGTGTCATTTGAGATCCTATATGACTTTTAGGTTGTATTTTTCTGTTTCTGCAAAAAATGCCATTGGGACTTTGATAGGGATTTAATTTTCTTCTTAATATTTCCCTTACCTGACGTAGGTATCAAAGTCATAGCAGCTCTCATAGAATAAGTTGGGAAGTCTCTCCTTTCCTTTCCTTTCTCCTCCCTCCCTTTCTCTCTTTTTCTCTCTTTTTTTTAGGTGCTGGGGATCAAATCCAGGGCCTGGTATATGCTTAAGCAAGCACTCTTCCACTGAACCACACTCCCAGCCCTAAGACTGTCATTTTCAACAGAAATTATAGTTTAGATTTACTTCTGTGTTTATCAGATTTTTGCTTTTCTTTGTTTCTTGCATTTCAGACTTAGTTTTTAGGGTCATTTTCCTTTTTTTCTTTTTATTTGTTTATTTTTTAATTAATTAATTAATTTTAATTAGGTATATATGACAGCAGAATGCATTTCAATTCATATTACACATATAGAGCACAATTTTTCATGTCTGGTTGTACACAACTTAGAGTCACATCATTTGTGTCTTCATACATATGCTTAAGAGTAATGATGTCCATCTCATTTCTGCCTTTCTTACTCATGCCCCCTCCCTTTCCCTCCCTCCCCTTTGTCCTATCTAGAGTTTGTCCATTCCTCCCACGAGCCCCACCCATCCTCATTATGAATAAGCCTCCTTATATCAGAGAAAACATTCAGCATTTGGTTTTGGGGGATTGGCTTACTTCACTTAGCATTATATTCTCCAACTCCATCCATTTACCTGAAAAATGCCATGATTTTATTCTCTTTTAATGCTGAGTAATATTCCATTATGTATATATACCACGGTTTCTTTATCCATTCACTTATTCAGGGGCATCTAGGTTGCTTCCACAGTTTAGCCATTGTGAATTGAGCTGCTATGAACATTGATGTGGCTGTGTTACTATAGTATGCTGATTTTAAGTCCTTTGGGTATAGACCAAGGAGTGGGATAGCTAGGTCAAATGGTGGTTCCATTCCAAGTTTTCTAAGGAATCTCTATATTGCTTTCCAGATTAATTACACCAATTTGTAGTCCCACCAGCAATACATGAGTATGCCTTTTCCCCCACATCCTCATCAACACTTATTGTTGTCTGTATTTTGATAACTGCCATTCTGACTGGAGTGAGATGAAATTTTAGAGTAGTTTTGATTTGCATTTCTCTAATTACTAGAGATGTTGAACATTTTTTCATATGTTTGTTGATTGATTGTGTATCTTCCTCTGAGAAATGTCTGTTCAACTCCTTAGCCCATTTATTGATTGGGTTGTTTTTTTGGTGTTAAGTTTTTTGAGTTCCTTATATATCCTGGAGATTAGTGCTCTATTTGATGTGTGTGTGGCAAAAATTTCCTCCCAAAATGTAGTTTCTCTCTTCACCTCACTGATTATTTCTTTTGCTGAGAAGCAGCTTTTTAGTTTGAGTCCATCCCATTTATTAATTTGATTTTCTTGCACTTTAGGAGTCTTGTTAAGGAAGTCAGAGACTAATCTGATGTGATGAAAATTTGGGCCTACTTTTTCCTTTATTAGGTGCAGGGACTCTGGACTAATTCGTAAGTCCTTGATCCACCTTGAGTTGAGTTTTGAGCATGGTGAGAGATGGAGATTTATTTTCATTTTGCTGCATATGGATTTCCAGTTGGGTCATTCTTCTTTTTCCTAAAATACATATTTTAGAAATCTCTTGAGAAAAGAACTGCTACTGTAAAGTATCTCACTCTTGTTTATTTAAAAAATGTCATTATAATTTCACTTTCACTTTTTTTTTTTTTAAACAACAGTGGGGATTGAGTGGGTACTTTACTACATTTCCAGTTCTTTTCATTTTTTATTTTGGGACAGGATCTTGTTAAGTTGCCCAGGTTGGCCTTGTGATCCTCCTGCCTCGGCTTACCAAATGGTGTCCCACTATGCCTGGTTCACTCTCATTCTGGACAGATAGTTTGCTGGATATACAGTTCTAAGTTTACAGTCATTTTTTTCTGCACTTTGAAGATACCAGTAGGGTCTAATTTTACATAGAACATGATTTCAGATTTGTAAATGTGTGCATAAAAACATGAGAGTGAAGACATTGGTAACACAATTGAAGTGAGCTATTGGTCCCCCTTATATGGATATTTTGAATCCTCAAACAGAAGACGCATTTCTTGACGTGTATGTTTAGTATTCTCTCGTTGCTTGAAGTAGTTTACCATATATCTATTGCTTCTCTGAATAAGAAGCTTAAATATAAAGTGAAGACCAAACAACTGTGAGAATTAAGATGACAGGACTAACATGAATATTATTAAATATATTTCTAACTAAAAGAATAATAACACTTACAAAAATTAGGAGGTAAAAGAAAATATGAATGTTCTACCTTATCTTTTTTATAACAGTATCGATATTGTCTTGAATTAAAATACGTACAGATCTTAAAGTAAATTACTTCAATCTCTCTTTTCCTTCACCTTGGATGGATATTTTATGAAATACTATCTCTAGTGGTGAAAAGATATTTATCTAGACTTTAGCAATCCCTTTAGTTTCACTTTATTTTCTATTCCTTCTGTTAAATTAAAGTAAAATTATATGTAATACTTTTTAATAAAAATAGAAGTTATATTATAATCCTATTTTTATAAAAGTACTTCTCTGTCTAGTCTATATATGCATGGAAAGCTGCCTGGAATGATGTGTACTTTAATATTAATCATGATTTATTTCAGGCAGTGGTGTTCAAGTCAAATTTTAACTTTATTTTGTGTTTTCTATGTCATTTGAATTCTTATGTGGATCTGTATTATTAGAAGTCAGTATGTCCCGAATGCACCACCAGTCAGGTTGCACAGTGTTACAAATGGGGAGACTTGATCTTCATCTGCTCCTGTGCCCGTGGCCTGGGCCACCAGCTCCATGTCTGATCTTCCTCTGGATACAGGCAATCAATGGATGCCCAGCTAGAGGAGGCTGTGCAATTTCTTAGCCTCAGAGTTCCTCTCTAGGACGTTAGTGTGTCTGGGGTGCACTATGGTCACATTCTCTAATGTTGGACTTTTGCAGTGTTTCTGCTAGGGTGGCAATTTTAGATTGCCATGATAGTTCTTCTATATGAATCTTTGTCCATAGCTTTGAGTATTTTTTAGGATAAATTCTTAGATATAGCGTCAAAATGCATAACTTTTTTTCCCCAGTGGTGCTAGGATCAAACCTAGGACCTTGCTCATGCCAGGCAAGTGCTCTACCACTGACTTCTACCCCTGACCCCATTTTTTTAATACTCATAATTTTATATGGTCAAATTGATTTTTGAATATGCAATTCTAATTGATGTTTTCACTAAGGGTATTTATAAAACGCCTTTTCCATAATTCTCTTGCCAGCACTAATCATTTTTTTGTTTGACATTTGTGTCCATTTGATAAGCAAAAATGATATTTAATGGTTGTTTTAATTAGCATTTTTATTATTAGTGAGGTTGAGTGTTTTTCATGTGAGCACTGAATTTTAAAATTTTTAGTGGAATTTTATAAGTGGGCTGATGACCTGATAGTATTTATTTTTTGAAGTTATAATTCATAGAATGTGTAAGTAAATGGCTAAAGGAGCATTGTGTGAGGGACAGAGTTCATAGTGACAGTCTTGGTGCCAGGTAACAGGGCCTGAATTGGGAAGGGGGCAGGAAGTGGATCTGACCACATTTCATCTCCATCTCTGATTTTTTTCTGGCTTCCTGATTCCCCTATTATAGTTGTCTGCAGGAGGATCATAAGTTCCAAGCTAATTCTGGACCACTTAGCAAGATCCTGTCTCAAAAACTAAAAAGGGCTGAGAATGAAACTCAGTAGTAGAGGGCCCTTGGGTTCAATCCCAATACCAAAAAGAAAAAAATAAATAAAATAAAAATTAACACAATAATAATGTGTTGCCCCAATTAAATTTGGGGGAATATTTTACAACTTTCCTAAGAAAGTCAGTTCTGTCTTTCCCTTCTAGAAAATCAATTCAGAGAAAATTTAGCAACAAGACTATGCATTTTGTGATCAAAGTGGATTCTATGAATCCAAATACGCTGAAGAGACATGCTGGTAGTTTTTGCTAGCATTGGTTTGTCTCTTGCCTTTTACCTTCAGGTATTTATAGGTTGTATTTTTAAAATAGAGAAATGAAGCACACATTAACCAAAGCAAACCCTGATGAAAACATGATCGACCCTGTGTAGTTCTGTGTAGAATTGTAATTCTTTGTTCTCTGTAGCTTTCAGATAAAAGGATTCATGTGGGATGGTAGATAGGGCGGTTTTAATTTGGATCAACCGGACTTATTGCTGGATTTTACACCAGCCATGCTGTGAGGCAGGTTCTTTGTTTTCTGCAATTATCAAACTAAGCCTAATTAAACTTGCTTTGCTTTGATGTGCTGTAATGTTTTCCATAATTTTATATTCTGAACCATTTTCCTGAGTCCTTGTTTGAAATCAAGGATAGACTATGGATTCATTTCATGTCTGACATACCATGATTTAACATGTATCTAATCAGGTTATAAGTTGTCTATTTTGGTTGATGTAATGTAACATCATTATCATTATTACTAATTTTGTTATTATTTGGGCTTTTTGCAACTTGGATCTATGGAATAATTTTTAAATATAATACACTTTAGATATACATGAAAGGCGAGAGCAAAGCTGTTCAATTCTAACAATTAAATATGGATCTTAAATTATAGAATGCATTCTTCTTCTTTTAAGTCCATTGTTTTCCTGTGGTTGTGTTTTTCCTTAAGGGGACTTTTTTTTTTTTTTTTTAGCTCGTTTAGCAGGATTGACTTTTTGTGCTTATTTCTCTGGTGTAGATGGGTTAAAAAAGATATTTTGTTGTCTTTTTTTTTGTATTTGAAGATTGTTCATTTCCCACTCAGATGTATCCATTAGATCTGTCTTGCTTTATGGATACTAGAGTAGATGTGAGTGATTTTTAAAGAGCTTTTTTTCTTCACCATCCAATAGATATAATTTACAAACACTTTGTTTCCTTCAGCTGTCACTGTGTGTGAAGTTCTCGTTAGTCACATACCCTCTGCTGCCTTTCAAAAACAAATTAAACTGTATTTGGTATATTCACCTAATTTCCTAAGGTTTTTAACTTCCCACTTGGAATGGGCATAGGATACCAAACCAAATTAGTTCCCTTTTCAGCCCAAATGTAAAGGGGCCTTAGCTGTGGAGACCCCTGGCCAGTGTTCTGAACAAAGTCATGTCTCTCATTGACACTGGTCATAAAGAAGTAATATTCTTATGTGTCTCTATGAAGATCAGGAAAATTGGGAGCTTAACAATTATCAGTATTAAGAAAACTTGGTATTGGTGGGTATACTTTGATAGCATTTTTAAAAAGCTGTTGAAATGTAATATACATAGAGAAAAGCACACATTTTTAAAGTGGTCAACTTAGTGAATTTTCACAATGACCCTATTTAAAGCAGCACTCAGAGAAAGAGAATATGGTCAGCACTGCAGGACCTTCACCTGTGCTCCTAGTCAGTCACTGCTCCCCAAGCCCAGCCCCCACAAGTCCCTGCTTTCCTGACTTGTACCCATCCTGTGCATCCATTGCACAAGAATCCCGCGGAGTGCACTCTTCCCATCTGGCTTTTTTCATTCAACTTGTGTGAGAGAGATTCATCCATATTGTTGAGCATAGTTGTAGATAGTTTATTCTTAGTACTTTATAATATTCTGCTGTATGAATGTATCACACTATCCTTTTTATTGTTGAAGGGCAGCCTTATGTGCTGGGGTTGGGGGAGAAGATCTTGGGAACAGGGGGTCAAAAGACTTCACATCTTAGGTCCTGTCCAGTACACTGTGGGCAGTTCTGCCAGTCTGGGAAGAGATTTGGCGCTCCCCTCTGAGGGCATGTTCATTCTAGTTAGGAACTACCTGAGGACAGGACTAGCTGTTTATCTTCCCTCTGCCCACTCACTACAGGGGCCTCCTACAAAGGCCCGCAAATAAATGTAGATAGGATTGAGAATAGCTTGTCCAAATGCAGGCACAATGATGCCAGGAAGAGGATGTAAAACAGGAGGCTGAGAGAAACACCAGGACCTTCCAAAAGAAGAGGCAGCCAAAGGACAAGGAAAGGGGAGAACAAATAACAGCTCAGAACAATACTTATTTATCTTGTTATCATGTAAATGAGCTTAATTAAATAGGCTTCATGGGGCACTACTAAATCCTCTGCTAAACCGAAAAACACAGAACAGTGCTTTGGTTTGCTGTTTTCTTGTTCTTTTGGTTCCTCCCTTGGTCTCCCATCTTTGATCATTTTAAATGTATTTTATTCAATTCACATGATTTTTTTGATTCCCCAAAGCAACAACTGAACAGAATAAACCAATAATTGTATAAAGTCGATATTCATGTAAATGTCTGGCATTTCAGCCAATTTTTCTTTTCTAGTTGTTGGGGTTTTTTTTTTTCCTTTTTGCATCAGGCTTCACTGTGGATCCTACATATTTCAGTTTGTTTGCAGAACACATTATAACTTTTATTATTTTTTCATTTCTTTTATTTACTTGATTGAAGTCATTCTGCAATCTGATAATCAGTGTACTAATATATTAATAATTGTTGCTAGGTCCCAGCAAGTGGTGGTAAGATAATTGCAGAGCTAATACCAGTGCAATACATAAATTATTCATTAAAACATATAGTGCCTATTTGAATATGTTTCTTCATTCTACTAGCAAAAACATCTCATGCTTTATTGGAGGCTCTCATTTTGATTAAAAAAATTAAGAAGGCCCATTCATTCTGCTACCTTCAGAGAGTTAATAATACAGCTGCTCTAGGAATTGACCTCAAGGGAATGTAAATGAGTGACAGACTTGAAAATCAGGGCAGAATCTGGTTGATTTCTGCTCCACCCCTGTGGACTAGTTTACTAGGGCTGCTGAAGGAGTCCCACAGCTTTGTGCTGTAAACAATAGAACCTTATTTTCTTTCTGTTCTGAGATCAAGGTGTCAGCAGGGCTGATTCCTCTGAGGCCTCTCTCCTTGGTGTGTAGATGGTGTCTTCCCCCTCTATCCTCATGTGGTTGTCCTCCTGTGTCTGTGTCCCAATCTGTTCTTCCACAACACTGGTCACATGGAATGAGGGAAACCCATATGATCTCACTTTACCTTAATCACCTCTTTAAGGCTGCATCTCCAAATACAGTCACCTTCTGAGGTTCTGGGTGTTAGGATGTCAAGGCAGAAACTTTGAGGGTGAGCACAATTTGGCCCATAATGCCCATCACAACAATGTTTGATATTGATGTGAGACATTTTTGGCCAGTCACAGGGCTTGCTGTGCAGTCAGAAAAACGTTTCCTTCCCTGAGTTTCTGGTCTCTCCTTTCCTTTAGGTCTTGACTGAGATGCCTTGTGGTGGGATGTGATACTTCATTTGCAGAGTCACAGCCAAAGGAGCCAGATGACACTCCAAAAGGCAGAGGAGGTAAGTCTCCAAGGGCAGACTTTGACCAGTGGAAACAGAGATGGAAAGAGCCAGGTAGATAAGTTCCCAGTCCTTGCTTCCTACCATGGCTGGTCCCATGCCACAGTTTCTGTATATAGTCTGATAAGAGATGTGTGGCCCCCATGTCCACCAAATTGTCAGCTCTGTGTCTTCACAACTTGCTGTGAAGAGCGGCAGGTGCTGTAGCCTTGGTCCAGCGTGGCTTCCCACTCCTCCTGGCCCTTTCACTCACTTGTACTGCTCTGGGACTGCCCAGTAGAGCATCAGGACTCAATCCTTGCCTCAGGCTCTGCTTTGTAGGGAATCCAGGCTAAGAAAAGACTTTACCCATTATAGATGTTTTACACTGACTGGAAAGATGGCAATAAACTTAAATAAGAGCATATAGACAAGTATTATTCTTTAATACTTACCATAGAGCATTTAATCAGTTCTTAAATTATTTGTAGTGAGGGAGGGGCAATAAATTCATGATAAACTATAGTAGACATCAATAGAATTTCCAGATTGATATGGACTCAAGAGGTCTTGTCTGTAGTGCTAAATAATTTTATTTTACCTTTTATGAGCAAATATATGTAGAAGACAAATGAGGTTATTTCTTTTTCTGTCACAAACACCATTGTCACAAACAATGTGTCCTCTTCTAGCAGATTCCATGTTGTTACCCATGAGACCATCTCTTAATAAAGGAAGTCCTTGAATGGAACGTATTGAACCCTTAAGTAAAAACTCACAGGTGCCTTCTTTAAAATCACAAATGTTAAAATTTAATGTCTGATTATTTTGTAAAAAAATTACTAAATAGCACTAATATTGGACCCCTTGACTTCTTTGCATTTTTTCTGATAAAATATTTATAAGAAAGTATAATCTATAGAGACTATCCACATACTGAGAGACTCCAGCATTTGAATACTATAACATTTGGATCTCTCTACTAAGTAAAGTCTAGCAGCAGTACACAGAATCAGCTTGAAGACTTGTTTCTAAAACTTGTTTTCTCGTTTTAGACTCATAGAATTTCTGCATTTCATCTACGTATGCAAACTTAGTAATATTTATTTGCAAGAATGATTTGTAATGATGTGGCCATAAGCACTCACCTATACCAGGTGCCTGTGAGCAATTCTGATTTCATTATTACCATCTCTCCCCTGCATATGCCCTTGCCATGGACTCTATCTATCAGTACTCATGCCCTTGCTTTGAACTTGGTATCAGTGGATCCCTCTGTGGGGGAGAAGTGACGTAGGTAGGCAACATCATTTTGAGACATATTCTTCATCTTGGAACAACAGTCATCCCAAGGTCACTCTGACCCATAACAATGGTCAGCTCCACCTAAACCCCAGACAACACCCTATAATGAAAATTGTTACCTGGGATGAAATCTTGAGAAGCAATGTGAAATCTTGCTCAATGTGGAACAGCGACCACAACGAAGAATGATGGTGAAGACCACAAGAATCCTTCCCTGACAATTCCCTAGAAATGGCCAAACCACAAAAATTCCCTGATCCCTCCTTCCCCTATAATTTACCTAGGCTGTAGATGGAAGGTAAGCTTCAGTCTCACTAGAACCCTCCCTCTGTAGGTTTATTCCAAATTAACTCCCTGTCACAAAATACTTATTCATTGTTACAGTGATGGTGAGTCCTGCTTTGAGCCCAGGCTCTGTTGAAGACCTAACTCCAGTCTGTCTAGTCGGAAAGCAGACCCATCCAGATGCATCCAGAGGCCTGGGGGAGATAGGGTAGCCTGCCAGAGGCCAATTTCTTTTATGGTCTCATTTTGTTATGTATATTTACTATTTTATTTAAACTTTAATTGTGGTTAAATACACATAATATGAAATTTACCATTTAGCCATTTTTAAGTGCACAGTTCAGGAGCATTAAGTATATTCACATTGCTCTGTGACCATTGCCACCTGCTTCTCCAGCACTCATTTCATATTGTAAAATTAAAATTCTGAATCCATTAAATAATAATGATAACTTCCTGTTCAGCTGTCTTCCCTGCCTCTAGCAACCTCCATTCTATTTTCTACCTCTAAATGTGACTAAGTCCCTCAGATAACTGAAAACGTACAGCATCTGCCCTCTTGTTCGGGCTTATTTCACTTAGCACCATGTCCTCAAGGTTCATCCACATTGTAGCATGTGTCAGCTGAGGTCACTTTTCCTTCCTTCCTTCCTTCCTTCCTTCCTTCCTTCCTTCCTTCCTTCCTTCCTTCCTTCCTTCCTTTTTCTTTTTGCAGTGCTGAGGAATTGAATCTAGGGTCTTATGTATGCCAGGCAAGCACTGTACCACCCAGCCCCAGTTGAGATCAGTCTTTTAAGGGACCTGATATACTCTCAGGAGGGAACTTTCTCCAAAGGAAGGCAGATTTTGCCTCAGAGCCTCACCATGGTGTTCAGTGTTGGGATGCTTCTGAGCACGGTGACTCAGAAGCATCTCTCACAAGGGCATTTATCTCACCCTAATTACTTTCCAAAGGTCTATCTTCTGATACCAGGACCTTGGATGTTAGGATTCCAGTACGAAAATTTTAGGGGACACAAATATTGAGACCACAGCAGGAAAAATTCCTTCATTAGCATATATGAGACTTATTCTATGAATTCTTGGAAATAACTTAGGAAGTTTTGAGAGGCACTGGAGGTTTTTATAAAGTCTCTGTTTTTTAAAACAAAGAGTGAGAGAGACAAAAATAATAACTGAATGTGACTGCTCATCACCTGCTGTCTGATTTAGCTTAAAAGGCAGGACCTCAACAATATGTGACTCAAGTAACAAAAAAGAACGAAATCACACATGAAGAGCAGTGCTCCTTGGCATCCTCTCCCTTCACTAGGGGAAGCTCCTACTCAGCGAAGAGCTGTCACTCTTGGGCCACCTCCATGATATCACACGTGCAGGGCATAGCAATAGTGGGAGGTTCCATTGTACTTCTGGGCCAGAGGGGGATTTTTTTTGCTTCCTTCAAAGGTTTGAGATGAGACTGGCAGCACTTTGAGTCATTAGAAGTTAATGATAATTTCTAAAGGCTTCTAGGACAAGACTGCAAAATACTTGGGAAGCCTTGACCAGGATTTTGGTATAATGTCTCATAGAAGAATCAGTGCCTGTCAAGGATGATTCCAAACAGTTTGCCAGGTCCTACCTTTATAGTGAGTCTTTTAGTTATAAGTCACTTTTGAGCACATTGTGCCATTGCTGGCCTCTGGCTTCATTAGGACAGTTACCACATATGCTGTGTAAGGACTGACAGTGTGATCAAGTCAGACAAGACAATGGCTGGGATACCCTTTGAAAAGCTGGGGTCTGGTTGATTTCCTTAGGCAGGCTTTGCAAAGCATCCATCCATATGTTATTCTTCCCTGTTGATCCTTCAGGCTTCATCAGACTAAAGAACAAAATGACCTGTGGGGGTGACGCAGTATAAGCCAGGATATTCAGGAGTAGATGGCTTCAACATTCATGCTCGTGTTACTGTGGACAAGTGGGCGGACCTAAGAACTGAGAAGCACCCCACCACTGCAGATGCAGCCCCCACATGTAAGGAGACTGGGAAAGGTAAAGTGGTTAAGTCTCAGGGGACAGCAGGTGGCTGCTTTTAACTCTCCCTGCAGTGAGGGAAGGGGACAGGATTGGGGAGCAAGGGGCATTTTGTGGGGGACAGGGCATAATCATAGGAAAAATGGCTCCTGCATCATGGGGACTCTTTCAAGCTGCACTTGGAATTAAAGGCCATCATACCATCTGAGGATGCTCAGAGGCTGGGGCATGAAGTCTGGTAATAGCCCTTTGACATCAGAGGGGTTATTATCTCCACCACATTTCTTGGCTTTTTGAAGGGCAAACAGAGACTGAAATCACTAGAACAATAAAACCACTCTTAGTGTTTTGGAGGCACAGAGCAGGTAGAGTGAATTCTGAGCCACTGCAGATAGTGACTGGGAGCACTTTGAAGCCAGAGAGCAAATGGACCATGTGGGATGCGTAGAAAAAGCAGGCAGCAAAAATCTATTCTACCCAACCAGCTGCCCCAGCCAGACCCAGAGAGACCGTCTTTGACTCCTCCTATTCCCTCCCCACTCCTCCAAATGGGCTGTTTCCATGGCTTGCTCTTAAGAACTATGTTGCTATGGACATTTTATACATGTCTCCTGGTGCTCGTGGACAAGAATTTCTGCAAGATAATGCCAAATGGTTTTCAAAAGTGATTGAGCCAACATAACAATCAGACACAATGCATGAATCTTAGATTAGGAAAAAAGAAACCATGAAAGACGCATTTGGGCCATTGGTGAAATTTGAATATGGACTGGATATGGTACTGTGAAATTATTGTTAACTTAAAAAATGTAAATGGTATTGGATATGCACGAAAATGTCCTTGCCTTATTCTTTCTTAATAGTAGTTTAGAATTAAGTGCTAAGCTATCTACAGTTTGTTTTCAAATGCCTCTGTGTTTGGAGAAGGAGAGGGAGAGAGGGGCAGAGAAAAGATAGAGGAGGTGATAGAGAGAGAGGGAGAGAGGGAAAGGAGAAGAAAGTGGAAAGGTGGAGCGGGGGGAAGCAAATGTAGCAGAATGTTGTGGGTCAGGTGCAGTGTGGCATTTTTCAAGATAAAAACCTGTGAAAAGAAAAGAAAAAAATGTTTGAACCAGCAAGAGCCTAGGTAGGAAAACCGAAACCACTTTAGGTATTTCAGTTAGAGGGGATTCAGTACCATGAATTGGCTTCAAAGGCTTTGGGCATGGTGGAAGAGCAAATGGAAGGGTGTGAGAATGGACAAGCAATGGGAGGAAACAGTGGTCCCCTCAAAGCAGAAGCCATTAGTTCCCTTTAACTCAGCCCACAGGCCTGACCTTGCTTCTATGGCAGCTTCTGCACCTGGCTCTGGATTCCTGAATAGGTGCTACCTCAAGCAGGACAGGAGCTTCAAGGTGCGACCTTGACTCATCTGCTAGCTTTCAGCTCCCCTCCCCTCCATGGCCACCTTCATCAGTACCTGCCACCCACAGTCAAAGCCAGCAGCAGAGAGCTTTCCTCTGGCTCCTGCATTCTGATCTTTACCAGCACCTTCCATGGGAGAACCTAACAGGAAACCTCTGAGCAGGGGATGCTGGGAAACAGACCTTAACAGACTGCAAAGCCTCACAGTTCAGAGCAGAAGGAGGATGTGGCACTCAGAGACATTACATTAGGCATCTAGGGACACCCTCCCCCAGCAGTAGGCCAGAGTCCCCCCTGCCCCCATCTTTGCTAACATGTCAGACTTGGTAAGTCTGACTTTTTAGCTTTTGAGTTGGGCGTGACTCTATTTAACTTGCATTTCTGCTTATCCTTGTGGCTAGTCTAAATATTTGTCCCTTGGAGAGACTATCTCTGACATAGCTGATGAGCTTCTCCTGCTGTACCCTACCCTGGGCTTCTGCATTGCACTCATCAAAACTAATAATTATACATTCATTTCTGAGATTATTTGAGTAATAATAGTCTACTCCATTATTGTGTAAATCCCACAAAGGCAAGATGTGTCTCTTGTTTTCTGTTGTATTTCCTGTGATGAGCACGTGTCAGGCACCTTGTAGGCACTTGATTAATATATCGAATGCATGAATGAAGAGGGATGAGCTGCAGTGCCAACCTTGTGTAGTGGATTGGACTGAGAAGAGAAACATCCCCTAGTCATTCCTTTAATTGTCAGTTACTGAGCAGGTCCGTGGTAATGCCAGAACACCATGGAAGTAAGCCATTCTTTATTGTTTGTTTTATCATATGTTTATAAGTGTGTATATATATGTATGTATGTGTGTGTATAAAATTTGTTGTAAATAACAATCATCAACAAACTGCATTGTGTCAGTCTTCTTTCTGTGACTATAATAAATACTTGAGATAGTCAACTTAAAAAGAGAAAAGTTTATTTTAGCCCACAGTATTGGATGGTGTAGTCTATAGGTGTTTAGCCCTGTGGCTTTGGGACCTGTGGTGAGGCAGCACTTCATGGCAGGAGTGTGTGTGTGTGTGTGTGAGAGAGAGAGAGAGAGAGAGAGAGAGAGAGAGAGAGAGAGAGAGAGACCAGCAAACCACAATACCTCTGAGGAATGCCTCCCAGTGACCTATGACCACATTTGTCCCCACTTCATGAAGGTCTTAGACCTCCTGATAGCACCGGGTAGAGGACCAAGTCTTTACACATGGATCTTTGGGGAACATTCCGGGTCCAAATGATAGCAAGCATGCAATCCCTTCTGAGGCAGGGGTTCATTCACAACCCATGATTTATGAAGTCAGAATGAAAACAAGGCCTCCAGGCAGAGTTTGGTAGAAAGAGGCACCTAAACAAACTGGTACTAAGTACATGGTGAACTACTGGCCATCCTAGTTGGCCTGGGACTGAGGGGTTTCACAAGACAAAAGACTTACAGTGCTAAAACCAAAGTCCTGGGGAAACCCAGGGATGAGCTGGTCAATGACATTTGTAGTCACCATCCTGGAGTCCAGCCAGGAAACCTAGAAAACTTGCCTCCTGCAGAATGGGATTCTGTCTTGTGTGAATGCATTCACTCTTACACAGACTTGGTGACAGTGTTAGAGACACAAGTTAATTTTAAAAGGTTTAAATTCACAGTAATAATCTCAGCTGTATGTTTGTACATGAGTGCATTTGGAGGGATTTTTCAGATTGTATGTTTTAATATTATTAAATTGGGTAACTAAACCAATTAGTAATTTTTAATGATCACAGCAAGTATGTCAAAGGAGAAATAAAAACTCCCCAAAGAGAGAAATGAGGCCAATGATAAGACAGAACATATTCAGCAGTCAGATTTGGTCTTGCATTTAGCACTTGCAGGGTGTGCTTGTGGATGGCCACCAGGAAGGTCTGATCCATCTGTGACCAATGCTGCTGCAGTTGAGTCACATGCTGTGGACAGTGTGCAGGTCGTGGTCATCTCGGTGCCCAGGCTGTCTCTCAGAGCAGATGAGGAAGCTGTTGTTCATGAGACACAGCATCTGTGCTCATCAGCGTTTGCTGACCTGGACCAGGGAGTCAGAATCTGCTCATTTCCAGGAGGCAACTTCAGCCTATAGGGTGACAACTCCATTGGGTGACAGAGTGGTCATCAGTGACTGTGTTTTGTAGAGGGAAAATTCCCAAGGGTTCGTGAGACATTTTTATGAAGTTGCATGTATGGATTTTGCAGAACATCCAATTGGCTCCATGGGCGACCATTTATTAGCATGATGGTAACTGCTGTGGCGATCGGCAGCCTTTGTGACACTCCTCTCCACCAACATCTGTTCATGCCCCTCTTCTTGGTTTTAGCTCTTCTTCTTTGGTTGCTGGGTTTTAAAAGATTTTATATAATCTTTTGTGGTTAAAAAATATGTAATAAAAGATCTAACTTCTTAACAAATTTTTAAGTTACATATAGTACAGTACCATTAACCATAAGCCCAACGTTGTAGAGCTTTCTGGAACTTTTTCATCTTGCAAAAGGAAACTCCCTTACTCCTACCACCTTCAGCCCTGGTGACCATGCGTCTCCCTTCTGTGTTGGGGTTACTCTTTCTTGTCCTTTGGGCTCCATTTCATCCTAGGAGGCTTGTCCTTGTCCACTGGACCATCATGTGATCATGTGCTTGCTTATTATTTTCTTAAATACAATCTTCCTGAGTAACCTCATTACAGTATAGCTTCTAATAGCAAAAATACGACTTTGAAACAACTTAGGGGTTCAAGAGTACAGAGTTGTTTAAATACGGGTTATTTAAAAAAATGGCATCCTATGCATCATTTGATGAAAACTGCACTGTACATTTGTCGACATAGATGTTCATGGAATTACTTAGTTAATAAGCCATGTTATTATATTGTATGCATAACATGATCCTATTTGAATAAAAAATAAACAAACATACAATGACATTTGAATGAATACTCACCAAAAATATTAACAGTATTTAGCTCTGGAAAGTAGAATTGTGTATGATTTGTGGATGGATTATACTTGTCAGCTATTTCTAGTTTTTCTAAGGAACATATATTTCTTGTGTAATGAAAGGGAAATATACATGGTAAGAAAAAATTCTCTGAGTTAGCCACTCAATTGCAAAACACTGCAATAAAAAAAGCAGCCAGTGCTCTTGGATGCAGCGCCAGTGTGGCTATGGCTGGGGACGTGGCTCCTTACTTGTTGGCCCTTCTCAAAGAAAGATTTGTCTCTTTATCTTAAAATAAACACCTTTTGGAGGGGGCAGTAGTCAGCAGACTAGGCATGACCAGGCCTTGAATATGGCATATTTTATTGTCACAGCTGTTGTGAGGGCCTACCTCCCTGCTAACTGCCGGAACACATTCAGCCCAGGGGATTGTAAGACTGTCCTACCCTTGAATGAATACAGCAGGTACCAAAGGGTAGGCATCCAGATGAATGTTCTCGAAGCTATAGGATCAGTGGGGTTATTATTATTCAAAACTTTGTGGGTTTGATGGATAATGATGGCCACCATTTGTTAAGCCCTGACGCTGAACGACTGGTATGCATTGCCTCCTTTACATCCTTATGAGCACGCTGTAAGGTCGGTGCTGGTCCGATTTTACAGACGGGGAGACAGGTTTGGGGAGGCCGGTGCAGGTAAGCTGGCAAGTGGCCACACAGTTTTCAGACCCTTTCAGCCTGGTTCCAGGCCTGCCTGGGAACTTGTCCTTGCTGTCAGGAGACCCACACTGAACTCTGTCCTGCATCTCTAGAGCCAACTGTGTTTCGCCCAAAGCATGAGGGCCACTTTAATCGCCTGCTTCACCCTCACACTTGCTCAGGAATACTGCAGAGCTGAAGACCTGCCACCGGACAACACCTAAAAGAAAGCTCCTCAGCCAGGTTCTGAGGACTTGAGCCTTGGAACAAGCATTTGAATAAAGGAAGGAGCAACAACAACGTCATGAGATTGCTGGTTGGCCTTCCATGGGACGGCAAAGAGAACATGACCCATCCGACAAGTCTTTGTGGGAAAACATTTTCTTTTTGTTGTAGTACTGGAGATGGAACCCAGGGGTGCTCTAACACTGAGGTACACTCCCAGCTCTTTTTATTTCATATTTTAAGACAGAGTGTTGCTAAGTTGCTCTGGTTGGCCTTAGAGTTGAGATCCTCCTACCTCAGGTCTCAAGTACCTGGGATTATAGGTGTGTGCCATAGTGCTCTGCTAAATTATTATTTTCTTTAAAATTCTTTCCCTTTGAGATTCTGAATGGAGTTCTTTAAAACCCCTTGGCCTTTCAATGTTTTCTACACACACACACACACACACACACACACACACACACACACACACACAGAGTCTATGAGAAATGCCTATGTTAATTATCTTGATTTGGCCATTCCATCATGTCATACACTAAACACAACATTTATTTTGCCCATTGAAATAAATGAATGGGTGAATGTAAGAAGGAGTCCAAGGGTAAAATCCCCAACTATGGTCAGCGATACTAGGCTCTTGTTTACTAGCCTTGTTACCTTGGACTTGTTGCTTGACCTGGAGTCTCAACTTCATTGTCTTTGAAGTGAGTCTTCTCCCAACCTCATTAGCTTGTTTTGAGGGTTAAATGATTGGGCACCCAGCTCAGAAGTCTCTCTGTGCACCTGGCCTGTAATGTCATTCTTCCTAGAAGATGGGCTCTGAGAGTCCTCAGACTGTAAAGTGCTTGTGCTCTTTAAATGGCTGATTAACTTACAGAAGTAGTGTCTTTAATGCTTTTAAAGTTCTATACATGAAATGAGGTGCCAAGTTAACAACCCAGGAAAACAGAAGGTTTATGTTTTTCCGCGTAATAAACTGTGAAAAAATGAGCAGGGCAAGCTTTCCAGCCTCTCTATTAGAGCTGGTGCTATAAAATGCAGAATGTGCATACACAGTCTTTGCACCACAGTGCTGCTCTGGCTGAGGATGGAGTGCGGGGATTACTCAGAGATGTTCTTGAACCTACAGCTAAAGGTTAAGAGCCAGGGCTGTTCAGTTTGGTACTTGCACACAAATCCTATTGTGTGCCACACACTGAGTATTGGGGGTTCCAAAATCAGTAAGCAATAAATAAGACCTGCCCGCATTCCGATGCCTGGGTTCTACATCTCAAGAAAAGGCATAAGCATGGGCTGGGGTTGTGGCTTAGTAGTAGAGCACTTGCCTAGCATGTGTGAGGCACTAGGTTCGGTCCCCAGCACCACATATAAAAACTAAATAAACAAAAATGAAGGTATTGTGTTCATCTACAATTAAAAATATTAAAAAAAAAAAAAAAGAAAAGGCACAAGCGGATCACAGTCTGTGGCAGAGCCAGGGTAGGAGGAAGGGCACAGAGATCCATTCAGCCAGTTCCCACACAGAGGGAGCGGACAAACATGGAGGCTATCAGCATCAGTCCAACCACAGGGAAGCTCCCCAGCCGAATTCAGGAATCTCACATAGAGAGTGGTGACCAGAGAGTCACCTCTCCAGAGAGTTCACTTCATTCCCACCTCCATGTTGTATCATGGACTTGAGTCACCAACTCGGGGCAAGGGTGCAACTGTGGGTCTTATCTAAGCCCAGAGTAAGTGCTTCACTTCCTGTGGCCCAGCAGGCTCTGAGACCGACACTGGCGGGGAAAAGGAGCTAGGCAAGGCCTCTGTCTTCTGGAAGCTAACAGCTACCAGAGTGTGTGGTTCCCCGGGGTTGCCATCACAAATCACCACAGGCTGCTTGGCTTAAAATAGCAGAAAGGGTTTCTCTCACAGTTCTCAAGGCTAGAAGTACAAATTCAAGGTGTCAGCAGGGCTGTGTGCCCCTGAGACTTCGTTAGGATCCCTCTCGCCTCTCTCTTTGTTGAGGTGGGGGTGGCAGTCCTCAGCACTCCTTGATTT